GCTTCCAGGAGTTCACGGTGAGTGCCCCCGCGGTGTGCCTGGCCTAGCCTGGCCCCAGCCCCGCACCTTCGCAGGCCCCTAGGGCATTCGCTTCTTAAGCCCTGACCCTGAAGAGCCCCCTGTGACCGCACATGGGGGCCCCTGGCTGAGCTTTTGGGGGCCCTGCTGGGCCCGTCGTACCCCTAAGCTGGCTTGAGGTGGAGTGCCCGGTGTGGGGAGTGTTCAGGGCTTTTCTCACATTCCCCCTGTCTGCCTGCAGTTCCTGCCCAGGCACCAGCAGCTGAGCGAGAGGGTGCGGAAGCGGCTCTATTATGGCTGGGACAAAGACTGCAGCCTGGATAATCTCTCCAGCCCCGTGGCAGGTGGGTTGCTGAGTGTCCCCAGATAGGAATGCTGAGTCAAGGGGGTTGGAAGTAGCCCAAGGGCTGAGACCAACAAGTCACCCGCTCCCTCCGTGGTGCCAAATCCCACCCCTGCCCAGCCTTCGTCACTGTGCACAGCACAGCAGGCAGGATGCCAGAGCCTCGTGGCTCTTGCTCTGTTTTACTGCCCTATCTGGTCTATTGATGCTTTTTTGGCATCTTGCTGGTGTGCAGGTTCCTTTAGGCTGCTGGCAAATTCCTTGACAGTGAAGTCTGTGTCCCTCATGAGAGTTGCCTTGGGCAACTTCTTGTGCTGTGCAAAACACTAGGGAGTTCATTTAATTTGTAGTTGTGAGCAGCAAGGGATAAATGCCTGCTGTGTGTGTCTCTGGATCACATCCTTTTTTTCCTGTTGATTCAGCAGTGTTTTTGGGGAGCAGAAGGATGCAGCGGGGTTGAGGCTGAGAACAGTGGAGAGGAGTGGTCAAGGGCAAGCAGTGGTTTCCTGGAGAGCGTTTATAGTGGGGTCGCTTTAGTGGTTCTGTAAGGTGCATGCTCACACAGCTTGCACAGGTCATTGAACTGGTGGGGAAGTGTGCTTGCGTTCAGAACTCTTGTGATAGTTTTGGGGAAAGCAAAAAATGTGTGTGATGTACCTCAGCGAGGAGGGGGTTGCTGGGCATGCGGTGGTGGAGCAGGGACGGGCAGGGTAGCCAGCTGTCTGGACACTGCTTGGACTCATGAGTTCTGGCATGAGCAGTGCAAGGGAGTCACATGGCTCACCTTTGGGGCTGGCATCACACCCGGGTGCAAGATGGGACTGTTCCACGGGACACTACCAGTGTTGAAAGTTCAAGGGGCACATTCATGAAAGAAGACTCTGTTGAGAGCTATTAACTGTAAAGGCTGCCTTGCACCCAGGAAATTGCACTGCCTTGGCTCCAGTGGCTGGGGGCAGGAGCGATGCATAGAGAATATCACTGTGAACTTATCTAGTCTTACAGCCTTCCTTTGATGGCTGCTATCAGCTATATGTCTTGGTACAGCTGTGCCATTGCTATATGGCAAGTTTATGGCACTGCTTTTCAGGTGAGATAGAGGCAATTGTGGGAAGAGTCCAGAGTAGCAGGAGGAGCTGTAAAAGGTCTTTGGCATTTGGGAGCAGTCACAGGAGGCAGTGTGGGGATGGCTGAGGAGAAAGAGGTTGAAAAGTTAATTTGTTCGTGCTGGAAAGGAAGAACCACAACCACCTTCAGTGTGCTGTGGCTGTGACATGGGGACAGCAATCATTTGCTCTCAGTGTCCTCTAGGGCAGGACATATTGTCGTGGGTTGGATTTGTGAGCTGAAGGATTAGGTTTGGTGTTGGGACAAGGCCTGGGGGAGATCTCATGTATCTTCTATCTCTCAGAGCCCTGCTGCTGTCTCTGTGTTGGCTGGTGTGTGTGTGTGTGTGTCCCTGCTCAGCACATAGATGGCCAAGCAGGACAGAGAGAGCAGGAGCAGTGCTAGAAGCTGGGTGCTGCTGATGGGGTGGCTGGAGCTGTGCCTGCCTGGCTGTGAGTCCTAGCAGTGGTGTGGCTCGAATGACCTGGGGAAGTCCCTTAGAGCAGTGTGTTTCTGAGCTTGGTGGCTGCTGTCAGGCAAATAATTCATGTGGGACTGCAGCTCTTCTTTTAGTTGCTGGAGAGACATGGGAAGGAGGGGTGTGGAGAGAAGAGGTTGTGTGGTGATGCTTCTTCTGGGAGCTGGAAATGTGAAGCTGCTGGGATGAGCTCTGCTCTCGACTCTCTTGGCCAAGGGCTCAGCCACAAAATGGAGCTGGAGTTGCCTGTCAAACACTTTTTGCCAAGCACCAGACTGTAGTGCTGTTTGGGATGCTCCCAGCTGGTCCTGTCATGTTGGGAAGTGAGACGGGAGCTGCTGAAGCCATCTGCCAGTATCCATCAGTCTCTCACCTTTTCAGTGCTTGAATGCTGAGGGAGATCTGCAGGTGGGGGGGGAAATGGGCTGAGATGAGGATCTGCAGTTATACCATATTGCTGCTTGCATGCCTTGTTAGTGCCTTCGGGTTCCTGTTCACATGAACATGTTGTCCATCATCATCTTGGGAGCACTAGGGCTGTGGTGGGGAGGAAGCTGGATCAGTGTTGATCATCTCTTGAGGAGGAGGAGTATGCTGGTTGGAGCAGAGCAAAGGACTGGGAAGACCTGGTGTTGACATCATGTCCTAGAAAGCCTCCGAAAGGGCTGCCCGAAGTCTTGCAGGATGAGGGGAGGGTGTTAGCCTCTCTGGGCAGCTGACTGCTGGTAACTCCCTGTGACGCAGACATGCTAATCTGGATCTGCCGCTGGGCCTTGGACACACACATCCTCTTCCTGCTTTGCTCTGGCTGTCCTGCCTATTTGTTTGTTCCTCCTTCATCCCTGACTTCTGATAAGGCCTGTCCTACCTTCATAGTTTAAATTAAACTTGAGGGGCTGAGCAAGCACCAAGACTCAATGGGCTTGTGGGGGGAAAAAGGGAAGGGTGGGGGTGGACTGTGCCATATGGGGCTAATCCCTTTTGCTGCTTTTCTGTCCTAGACATTGCTGTGGAGTTGCTGCAGAAAGTGGCTCCCAGCCCTATCCGCAGACTCCAGAAGAAATACGTGTCTCACGTATCTCGGTAAGAAGTGAAACTTGTCCCTTTGTGTCCCATGTCAGAACTGGGAGCTCTGGTCTCACCTATGACTCACTGCTGTTCCCTGGGCCAGCACTGAATTTGTGCTTAGGCCTGATTAGTGTCAAAGAGGAGCTGGGGGTGGGTGGCAAGGCCAGCAGGCACAGTGGCTTCCTGACACAGCCAGACCTGCTTCAGGTTGGTCCTGCTCTCTGGGGTGCAGGGGTGCTCTTGTTACTGGGACTCTGTACTGGCTGGATCTGCAGCTCACTGGGCAGCCAGGTCTGAACCCTCTCTGTTCTCAGCAGCTGAGCCCTTGCAGCATGCCTGGCTGCAGGCAGGGCTGCCCAGTTTGGAGCTGGCTGTGCCTGGGAACAGGAGCCAGGACTTTCTGCTCTCTATCCTGCATCCTCTCCACTTTCTCTTGCTGCAGCTCAGGGCAGCCAGTGCAGAGCTGGCATGGCTGGGATGTATCTAGCTGTCTTTTTACTAAACCTTCCCCCTACCTACAAGGGGAGGGAGCAGCCAAGTTGTGCTGTGGTGACTGGGTTGTTCGTAGCACGCAAATAACCTTCAGGTTGGCTCTTGCCTTGTTGTACAGGGAAGCCTGCATCTCGCCCTGCTCCATGATGCTGGCACTGGTTTACATTGAGAGACTCCGGCACCGGAACCCCGAATACCTCCAGCAGATCTCATCTTCAGACCTCTTCCTGATCTCCATGGTGAGTGGAGTGGGTTGAGGGGGGTCACTGAGTTGGAGGGAGGCCTGGAGGAGTGCAGGAGGGACTGAGATCCTGTCCTTTGTGCTGCTTTTAGATGGTTGCTAGTAAGTACCTGTATGATGAGGGTGAGGAGGAGGAGGTGTTCAACGACGAGTGGGGAGCAGCAGGGAAGGTGGATGTCCAGACCATGAACACACTGGAGATGAACTTCCTGAGCGCCATTGTAAGTGGGGCTGTCACTGTGGCCAAGTATTTCGCAGAGAGGGGGAAAGGATGCGTTAAGGGGAGTCTGGATTTCTGCTTTTCCCCAACATACTCCCATGAAGGAATGGAGAAGGATATGTCTGGGTGTTGGGTGGCCTGCCCTGACTGTGCTGACCTTTCACTGCTGTCTCCACAGGACTGGAGTCTCTACACAGACCCCCGGGAGCTGTTTGAAGTGCTGAGCTGGCTGGAAGGACGGTAGGTGTGTGGGGTGGGGGTGAGCCTTTCATCTACCCTGCAGCCCTGGCTCTGCCCCTGCTCAGAGCTAGCCCTGCTGCAGTGAAATAAGAGGTTAGGGTACCCGTGAGCATTCACTAGGTTCTGCAGCTCCCTTCCATAGACATTGAGCAGGGTCTTCTCCAAGCCTGCCTGGGTTGGAGCTTCTTCAGTGGAGAAGGTCCATACCGCATCCACCATTCTCTTTGTTTTCCTGCAGTGTGGCAGAAAAGCAGGGCATGTGGCGTGGCTGGTTCACTTACACGGATCTGTGTGTCCTCATGGAGCAGTCCATGTGGCAGCATGTGCTGGGCCAGTTCTACCAGCAAGTGGTGAAGGTAAGGGCATGGGGCAGCAGCTACTTGTAAGAACGTGGGTCCCAGCAGGGGCCATGGGTTTGGAGCAGTGGTAGTGGCATGGAGGGAACTGGGTCCTGGCTGGGCATTTAAGCAGGGACTGTTAGGTTTTAGCTGGGGCATTTTGGTTTGTGGTATTTAGGCCCCGCTTTGAACAGGCTGTGTGCCACCTGTTGTTAGCAGCATGGCTGCCTATTCCCCAGCATTCAGCCCCAGTGCTGGTCATGCTGTTTGCCACCATGGCTGCTGGGTCGATGTGTGGCCATGCTGGGTCATGACTGGGTGTGGGGGGTCTGGGCTAACCATCAGCTTCTCTGCAGCTGGCCTGCCTCCTGGGCGTGGTGTACCTGACCGGTTTCGCTGCTGTCTTTGCCTCCGTCACTGTGGTGCACCGGTCTGTGTGCATGAGGAGCACCAGCCCTGCAGCCTCCCGGCCTGCGCTGTTCCCCGAGGAGGGCAGCTGCCAGCTGGATGCCCAGCCAGCCCCTGACCAGCCCCAGCCCAAGCTGCCCAACGTCTCTCCAGACAGCAGCACCTGTTGCCTGGGGGAGAACGAGACGACTGAGGAGACGCGTCGTGGGGGTGTCACGGCGACTGCACTCTACTTGTGGGGCAGCATGATGACAGCTCTGTCTTACCCAAAGGCACCTGATCTAGTCCAACACAGGAGCCCCCCGCAAGGTCCTTTCCGGAAAGTACCCACTGCCTGTGAGAGATCTAACCGTACTTCCCCTGCCACAGCCCCCAGCCAGCCTGGCCCCTTCGGACTTGCCATGCTCCCGGTTCCTCCGGCGCTCCACTGCCATGCCTGCGCAGCTGGTGCGGGCCCCACATGGGATGCAGCCCCCAACCGCAAGGACTGGCTGGACCCCCTGGGGCTGAGGCAGTGCTCCATGCACACTGCCATGGATCTCGGCAGAATCAAGAGCTTCATTTTTCCCAGCTAGTAGTGTGGGGCAGCAGCCCCTTTCCCCTTCCCTCCTAGTGTGGCACAACTCACTTCCTTGCACTTGTGGGACTCCTGATCCCTGAGGCTGGAGGCCCCTGCGTTACTTCCAAACCAGCATTTGTGTCCCCCCCAGCCAGGGCGGGGGTGTCTTTCACCGTAGGGGCTGCTGGGGCAGGTTGGGGCAGAGTTCTCTTGCTGTTGAGCTGCTGGGGTGGGAACCTACTAGCTGGAGAGTAGAAATGGGATGCCCTTGAGCTGGGGTGCTAGGGCAAGGGGAGGTGTTGTACCTCTTCCTACAGTGAGTGGGTGACCCTTGGTGGTGCTGGGCAGAGGTGCTGTGTGGGACGTGGGATGCTGGAGCTCTGTGTGCAGTGGGGAGGGGCTGGGGCAGTGACCCTAGTGAGGGAGTGGGGTGCTCCAGGAAGAGGTGGGGTGCCTGGGCAAGGGGAGAGGAGGTAGAAGGAGGGGGAGAGTGAGCAGCCCGAGCTGGCTGGCCATAGCAGCAATTCCCCTTGGAGGCTGCCAAGCTGCTTCTTGGGAATATCGCACCAAGAGGGGACCCCACTGTGGCTGTGCCCCAGGGAGAGGTTGTGCCCTGCTCGGCTTGGAGGGGGTGAGGTGTGGTTAAGGCTGAGCTTCCTTATCCTGCTTGTGTTGGGTGCTTTGAAACTGGGGTGCTCTGTGACCCCATCCCAAACCCCAGCTGCCTATGGCTGTGAGCAAACAGTGCCTGACTGCTCCTCAGGGCGGGAAGATGGCTCTTTGTCTTGCTGACCAGCCCAGCTCATCAGGAAGTGCCCCTTCCTTTTTACTGTGGATTTTACACCTGTTTTTCACTCTTTTGTAGATGCAAATCTCTTCCAATAAAAGTAGTTCTTGCTGTGCACCTGCCTTGTCCTGCTGAGCTGCTCCGTGCTGGCAGCATGAGTGTCCCACTGCAGAGCCCCATTGATGCAGCCGTGCGGTCACAGCAGGCAGTGCTTGCTCTCTGAGCCGGTGTGCAAGGCAGGTCCTAGTGCCGGCAAATGAGCCCAGAGCAGCGAGACCTGTCCTGTCAGGCTCAAGAGGGACCAGACTCTCTGGTGACAAGAGGGATATTGGGTCTGGTGCCTGGGGAAGGCAAGGGCAGTGGGAGAAAGGAGGCTACCCATCCTTGGGAATGCGGGGAATGCATGGTCTCCATCGCTCTTTGCTCTCCGAAGTCAGTCCAGTTAATGAGTGAGCCCTAAGCAGCAAGGGCTTGGCAGGGTTGCCGTTGTGGTCGCTGGCACAGCCACCTCTGTCCTGTGACAAAAACACAAGCATCCCCTGCCTGTTGCTCCCCTGGGAGCCTTCCCAGCCAAGCAGGCAGCTCTTGTCCCTGGCATACTTGTCCAGCAGCAGGATTCAATGCCCTCCTTCTAGGAGCTTTGGGGGATGTGGTAGACCCCCATCAGAGACTGTCCCAGTGTGAGTGCAGTACCCACAGAGGGGAATGGCAGGACATGGTGGGGGGCCTGTGCAGCTTTTAATGGGCTCCTCAGGGCCTGATGATGAGGAAGGGCTGGACCAGGAGACCAGGGGGATGCCGTGCTGGGGAGGAGCAAGCATAGGCAGGGCACGCTGGAGCTGGAGGATGCTGTTGGTGTGGATGCTCCTTGCACATGAGGGAAGATGTGTCTGTGCTGTGGCCCACCCAGTCCCTGCCCCGTGTGCCGCAAGAGGACCTGGCCTGTGGGCAGCTGGCACCGTAACCATGTCCTGTGTCCTGGCCATGGGTGGCCGTCACCTGGCCCTTCTGGTGACAACGCAGGGTGACGCTTGCATTCCTGGCTGCAAGGGCAGGTTATTCACCAACTCGAGTTAATGGCTAACCCTGGAGCAGCTCCTGCAGAAGGTGGAAGTTCAGCTGTGCGCAGGCTGTGAGGAGCCCTTTGGGGGGTGGGAGCCTGCCCACCCCCTCTGCACCACAAACCAGGGGTGGTGTGGGGAGGCAGCAGCATGAATGGGGGCTGCTGCAGAGCGCCTGGTGCTGGGAGCCCTGCGCTCACATCCTGCTCCCTGCAGAAGATGTGCTCCTGGATTCTGAGCTGTTGCTTAGCCCTCCAGGTAAGGGGAGACCACGATGAGCAGCCAGAGAGATGGGGTGATGGGGAGAGAGCTGGGATCCACATGAGTGGCAGGGCAGGGGCCACATCCTGCCAGGCAAAGGATGCTTGATGCTCTGGCGAGGGTGTGCTGGGAGGGAAGCGGGCAGTGGTGGGCGCTGTCTGGGGGTGTCACTGAGCATGCATCCACTCAGGGAGGCTGGGCACGGGGGGCTGCAGCTCTGGGTGCTGCAGGGAGTCGCGATCACCTACCCTTTTCCCTGCACAGCACCTGGCTGTGCAGGCCTCCTTGCTCTGCATCTTCCACCTCCTCCTGCTGCCCACCCTGCCTGAGGAGCCACCCCATGCCCAGGCCACCGGTGAGCTGCTGGCACGGAGCCTCTTTGCCTGCGGCATCTCCACAGTGCTGCAGACCACCCTGGGGAGCCGGTGAGCAAGGGAGATGAAGGGGATACAGCCGTGGCCAGGAGGAGGGTGATGCTGTGGCAGGGCATGTCTCTGCCCCCTCCTAGGCTGTGGGAAGACAGGCTTTGCTGGAGGTGGGAAGGGGCATGAGGACAACCCCTTGCTCTGCATCTCTGCATGCCTGTCCCCTCCCTGCCATCCTGCATCCTCCTCTCTCACATGTCCCTCTAGGAAAACTGCTGTGCTTTCCCTCTAGCTCCTCGCTGCCTTGCTCCAGCATCATACAGAGCTCCTCCAGACCATCGGGTGCCTGTGCTGCCCATGCCCCACGCAGGGGCTGGCTGTGGGCTTCGGCAAAGCCCCTGGTCTCTGCGCACATCTCATGTGCTGCTGCTTGGGATGTGCTAGGGCACTTTTTGGGTATGGGGTGCCCTCCTGCCACTTCGGGGTTCCCATCTCCTCTACTTCCCAGCCCACACTCCTCCAGCAGCCAGATCTTTGGGAGCAGCCCTGTCTCCTCTTTCCACCCTAACGTGCCGCTGCTGTCCCCTTCCCCAGGCTGCCGCTGGTTCAAATCCCATCCTTCGAGTACTTGGTCCCTGCCATGGTGCTGACCTCCCACCTGTCCCTCGGTGCCAGCACGGACAGGAACGGTAAGCACAGCGCCGGAGCCTGCGCCCCGCGGGGCCCCAGCCGTGCTGGTACCAGGGGAACGGCGGTGACGAGGTGCCCGGTGCACTGGGCAGGGATGAGGGGTAGCAAGGGCTCCTGCCTGCTGGCTCCTGGTGGGTGATGGGACACAGCACCCTACTCTTGAGTGCACCTGCAATGAATCTGGTCGCCTCCCCAGGGTCAGGGCTCGTGGGGATGCTGGCCCTTCTCCAGCCAGCAGCCTCTGCGCTGCGTGCTCTTGGACGCGGCTGCAGGAGCCCAGCGTACAGGCACATCGCATCCCTCTGAAATTCCCTTCCAGGCACAGCCGTGGCCAGCACGTGCCCTGCACCGCACTGCGCCGTCGCAGGGAGCCGGGCTGCCTCACTGCGAGAGGTGGGTGCTCCTGCACTGGGCTGGAGATCCCCGTCTTGCTCCCCCAGGACCCCAGTT